CTTTTGGCGCCAAAACGACAAGCTTCCACTCAAGAACCATTATCGTGTTGTTTGTTATTTCCATTCATTCATTCATTCATTTCACCTTTTCTCTTATTTAGATAGCAAGTCAAGAAGAAGAAACATCAATAACAACTATTGGAATATAATTATATCACAATAGAGAAAGCAATCTATTTATAACATTGAATTAAAAAAAAATGAATATAATTCATTTCAATAGTTCAGTACAACTCATTCAGAATATTATTTTAAAAGTGATTCGTTTATATACTACTTATATCATTGTTGTATCATTGGAAAGTCAATCATACTCATCATTATCATTCTTATCTTCATTATCGTCGTCATCATCAGCGGCGGTGGTGGCAGCGGCCGCTGCGACGACAGCATCAACATCGTCATCGTCATCATCCTCAGCGGCGGCCGTGGCGGTGACTGCGGCGAAACCATCAGCATCGTTGTCATTATCATCATCATCAGTAAATTTATTTAATCAAACAAATGATTGGGCAATGAACATTATTGATCATATTAATAATGATAATCATGTTATCTATGGAGAACAGTATATGAATGAACAATTAGAAAAACGTGCTATTAATGATTTAGGTAAGTTTATTCATTAAATAATTTAATTGAAATTAATTTCTGAAAGGGTGTTTATGAATATTATAGGAAATTTTAATAGTTGAGATCATGAGTCCATTGAATCTCATGAGGAGAGATCGTGATTGAGTAGTTCCACTGAAAAGTCCCCTTTTGATAAAAATCAACATTTACTTACTAGCGACTGGCTTCAAGAGATATTTCCTAGAGTTCTAGTGAAATACAATAACCAATGGAGTTTAACCGAGTTTGTTATGAGATAGTAACTCATTGAAGATAATAGTGTATATGTCACTGAATTTTGTGGATTAGTTGAAATTAGACAATACTGGCCGGTTCAGTGATCTAGCGGTTAAAGGCTCGCTCGCAAGACCAATATGTCGTAGATTTGAACCCCGTGGGGAGCGTTGCCAAGGAGTACCATACTAGGACGAAACGTTTGTCTAGTACATCAAGATTTTCTATAGTGATCTAACTTCAATTGACTCATGAATTCAACTATTGAAAATATATTTCAATGAAACTATACTATACTACTGAAATGAAATCATTATAAAAGATTATTCTGTTACCTTATTTTATATTCCAATTAGACTTATTTATTAGCTTTCTATAATGATATAATGAATAGTGAAATGAACTAATTAGGGTTTAAAGTAATAGGTCTTTCATTTGGTTAAAGAATGTTTGGGGATTTTAACGGATATGAGTTTGTGATGAAAAACCGTAAATCTAGTTTCTAACCTTAAACCATCAATTGTAAATTATAATCCATATCTTTCAAACTGTTTTAAAACATTCATATTAGCCCTATTTACTAGACAGATAGGTGAGACTATAATTTATGAATGAACTGATTGAACATAGGGTAACAGAACTTCGACTTTGGCGCGCAAAATTCACTCATTTATTTGGATAAATAGAGTTTTTATAACCTTCATTTAGCTCTAGTACGTAGGTAGATACTCTCAAAGATACTATAGCGTTAATCAAATGTCATCCATAAATGATAATCTCACCGATGAACATTCTGAAATCCATATAAATGTCACCTAAAGAATCACTCGATCATTTCACTAAATAGAAATGATGTAATAATTCCAAGTTTTGAATGAATTTATGATCTTATATAAAATGTACTTTTGCATTTGCCTGGACACTGATAATCATAGTGTGTAATGTTGACTAGTTTTTTGAAAATGATTGAAAGAAAGTTGAAGGTAGCCAAATCAGTCAATAACTTCTAATCTGAACTATATTGATAGATGCAAACTACTTGATTGGAGTCTGGTTGACTATTTTAATCAATGGTTGAAGACTCTAGGTGACATGGTTGAGAATCAATCATAATGGTATCGCTGTATACACATTCTGTCTTCCCTTAAACTATGAGATTAAAGTTGCTTTATATCTTTCTTTGTACTAATAAATCTTCCTATATCCTTATATACAAATCTTTTTTTTATATATATTACCACCGTTAGCTTATCTAGTTCTATGAATCCAGTGTTCATCTTGTTGTGCTAATGAAGTATGGCAACTTGAAATGATGTACATATGTGCCTGGTCTTATGTTGTAGCTGACTGACTGACTGATATAAAATGTACAATATACAACTAAATATCAATTAAGTAAGGATTATGTATACTACTTATGTATACTTATGTATACTACTTATATTGACAAATATAAGTAGTATATATCATCAATTGAAAGTCAAATGCTCAGGGGAGACTATGATTTATGTACGACCTTTGAGCGACACTAAAGTGACATTGGGAGTGTTCACTTCATAAATAGGATCAAATAAAGATGATAAACTTATGATAAGAATAAAGATTATGATTTACAATTGATAGAGTTAAGGTTACAAATTAAATTTAAGGTTTTCATCACAAATCCAAGATCTGTTATCTTTTATCTAGTTGATTTGTCCATAAATTATAGTCTCAACCTGTATAGCAACACAAATCATCTAATCATTAAGCAAAGATGGATAATGACTGGCAGTGGAATCCAAAACACGCATTCCGTCCTATTTGGGAATCGTCGGTTGAATGTAGAGTTGATGTTCACTCCGAGAATCGAATCTAGTACCGCACGTTTTGAAACTCTATAACGTTATTCACTTAGCTACTGGGTCCTGATAACTACCTGCTTGTGCGATGTGGTGAAGTTTAGATTTACTT